CTACGAAATGATATCATCTCGCGAAATTTGTCTTCTTAATGCCTTGTTCAAATTATATTTTATTGTTATTCTATACTTCAGTTGTTGTTTACTACTATAAACTTAAACTAACCGTTGGTATGTAACACTATAAAACTCAATGACTCGAAATTCCTAGTAATAAAAAAGGAGAATAAACACTGCGGTTATCGCATATTGTTTACTTAAATTTTCATTATCTGCTGGCTGCTTCTGTTTTCTTCACTTCTCGAAGGTATTGCACTGAAGCACTGCTAATGAACAGTAATCCTGCTTTCTACATTTGTATTACTTGAGAGGTATCCAGAATATTGTTAGCACTTACGATGAACAACGGAACAAATTCCATTCTGAATTCTGTTCAACATCGCAAAGTTAACTTTGCGACCAATTTGTCCCTTCTATCTGCTAATACCAATATAATGCTGTACTTACCATCTAATGTGGATTTTTATAAACTTTCGAACTCTTATTGATTGATAAAATGATAAAAATGACGGTCTGGATCCAGTGTGGCTTACTCCAGCACATGTATATCACCTCTCTTCTTACATTCCATTAACGCAAAATTTCATAATTCCCTCATGAATCTGACTCACTATGAGTATATTAAATATTATAATTTAGACTTGAACCAAAACCTTATATTCTATTATTATAAAGTTTCTAGAGGTCATTTTACAAATTTTAATTTCATAAAACAGTGTTCAATTTCAGACTGCACTTGTCTAATATGATCATGCCTGTACAAACGGTATGTGAATCGTGTAAATGCTTAATTTATGTGAAATATATATTATTATTATTAGAGACAGTATGGCTAAGACGCCTGAGACTAAACTTAACACTTTACTATAAACTTCTAAACCACTTAGTTTTTACCTCTACTAATGGCACTCGACTTTCAGATGACAATGGCTACAAACTAAGACACACTAAGGGTACAGTGGCTATCGAACAATGTAAAACAGCCACCAGACAAAAGTTTTACTCGATTAGGTATGCACAGATATGGAATAAACTACCAATGGAAATGCGTCAAGCAGGTACATTGGCCTTCTTCAAAAAAGTGCTTAACGACAAACTACAAGAGTCTGCAAATGATAGTAGTCCTAGTTCCCATCTGAGAGCCTCCGAAATTATAGGTCCATTTAATGTATAAGCTTAAATACTACACCTGTTGTTTTTCGCCTATATTTATAATTTTAGATAAAACAACGATTAAGATACTTACCCTCAAACAGACAAAAAATTTCATCTGTAAAACCTCTACCCAACACAATAAGTGGAATAAAATGGCCATAAACCGACAACATGAAAAAGATATAACTCACCACAACATCACATGGACAGATGTACGCTTGTTGGGCATCATATATGTCTCACCAACTACAACCCAACTTTCCTAAGATAATGTGATGAACTTATATTCATAATGTTGCTGAGCAGTTAATATTCTCAACTCCTGTCGGAACAACTAAAATTCAAAAACCTTCCTCACGAGAAGTAAATACCCACAAGCAGTAGAAATCCATTAATTAATGCATCTAGAGCTTATGTATTTTGCTCCCAACAATGACATTGCAGATCAAATGAGATAAACAAATCACTGATTTCAAAATAACACATCAATGAACTATAATTTAAGGATTCTGCACACAACAAAGTGATGTACGAAAATTGACCACAAGCTTTATTTTTTTCCCGGGCACTTATAACCCATCCACCAAAGACCTGGTTCTTTTTGTTAATGCGAAGACAATACTTTTGTATTTCCTGATGTGTTGCACTCACTGATAATCTAGCAGATTTTTCCAGCTATGCACAGAAATGATTGTACATAAGTGAAAAGGCTGTTTTATACTATTGGGATTAACATTTATCAAGTGTGTGTATAATCTCCAGCGTACATGTTAAACATATTTTGCTATCGACCGTAAATTGTGACTGAATAATATGGTCCTATTTCTGTAACAATTTGATGATGCCTGTAAACTGGCATCTCTCATGTACTGTACCGTGAGAATAAATCTATTTATTTATACGTCACCGTCACTAGAACTGAGGCAAAGTGAGTGACAAATCGATAGTGAATGGATATGAGGATGTGCAAAGAGTCTCATGAGGTGCTGCTACGGCCACGTTGCGTTCTGCAAGGGTCATTCTAGCAAGTGGCGATTGTGTTACAAGATGTCAAGAAGATGCCTTTAACTGGAAGGCGTAGGTCGTAATCGATGTGTGAGATTGTGCTGTGGGTATGTCTGTGGTGTGTTTACTTTGCTGTTTGTTTTCCATTTGAACCTTGTCCGAGTGGTCCAGGTTCTCGCACTGGAGTCCAAGTCACCATGTACGGGTAGTGATGGAAAAAAGAATGGATCCGATTTTTTCCGGGGAGTGTCAATGTAGTTGAAGATTGGTTGTTTGCTCAAACCCAACTCTCTATTTTGGCGGGAGTCATCGACACTGAAATCATCGTTTCACCGCTCGCTGTTCGTTGGAGGACAGAAAAATCTATCTGAAGTATTTTTGTGGTTTATTTTCATGACATCTATTTTTAGACCTTGTGTAGAATAACCTAATATTTGGCTCTGTATTGGCGCAAGAATAAACAGTTCTCGAGTCATCAATTTGTGTTCTGGTTTTTTTTGCGTTGGTTATTATGCATAGTTCCTGGAAGTCTTCCAAGGACAGTGTGGAGTCTAGCGTAGTTAGACTTGGACATTGACAACATGCTTTGCTCAGAAGTGTGACATTACACAGAGTGGAAGCATCTGTGTCATTGACAACGTTTGGAGTCACATTTCCACTTAGCACTAATCTTAACCCCAATATTACTTACCATATTATACTTCTTAACACAAAAGAAAGGGTTCAGGGATCACGATCAGAAACCAGCAGTCTTTTCATATCTCTCAGTTTCAACGGTCACTTCTCACATTTGTAGAAATGAGCTTTGTATCGTATCCTTCTTATAAATATCAGTTCCCTCATTGTTTAGTTTCAGTATTAAATGAATAGAATACAATCTACAGATTCATGAAATTCACATACTGACGTACTTCTTTTCTGAAAACCTAGTTAACGTCTCCTCAGTAAAGTGAGAAATGGGTGTTTTACTTGTGTAAATTCAATAGGCTGTGAACTGCTGTCATTGAAAACGACAGCAATTCTTGGAATTACCGAATATAATTTTAGCTTGATCGCGTGCAACATTCAGCCGTTGTTAAATAGCCACTTGTTGAACATCGAATCCATACGGAAAGTGCAGAAGATATGGTGCAACTTGCACACTCCTGATTTCACTATGAAGCATCCATGCTAAAAATAAATTACTTTATAGGGGCCTACACAGTTCACAAATTAACTCACAACACTGAAGTGGAAAAATTTGTATCCATAAATATAATGGGCTTACTATAGCAAATCTTGTGAAGTAACTTTCTCATTCAGAAGAATGTGGCGAGGTTTTCGTAATCTTTTACCACATGTGGGATCGCAGTGCAACCCGAAGCGCAGTGGTATATATATGAATAAACTGAAAAATAATGTCCCACTTACCTTCTCAACAACTTGTCCTTATTACAGGAAAACAAATTTCTTTCACCTATGAGCCTAAGTTATGTCTATGAAATCGCAATGTTACATCAATTAAATCTTCTCCCAAAATCAAGGTCACTTGAAACCAATAGCAACAAGCATCATAGCTGGGACATGCGTTAAAGCCACTCCATTTTTTCCACCACTAAATCCTTTCGAACTAAAAGAACACCCGTTCTATTACATTTAACCGCCATCCTAGTCGAATTCAGACAAGGGAAATATTCCGTGACCAGCCTCTTAGTGATGCGTTTGTACGTTTGAATGATGACATAAATATTCCGAAGCTTGAGAAAATTTTGGTTCATATACACCATACATTGCTGTCTTGTTCGCCCTCTTAATTCCAATAATTAAAGGAACCTGGTATATATCGTCTCATCCATTTTCCTTATTAGGCAACATGATATTCAAGAAAACCTGAGGCATTACATTAACTCCGAGGATAGAGGATAATTTTATGCGATAATTTTACGCAGTATAACGAAGATTTGCCAGACCATTATTTGCTCACTGAGAAATGCCACAATATTTTAAATTTCATTGTTTAGAACGCCACAACTTCTACATCGACTAATAAGTACATTTTAAAATCTCTATGACTTGATCCAGCGACCGAATCATACAGCCGGTATTCGAAAACCAAAATGAAAGAGCAAGGATGGACCGTGACAAGGGATTGTATCACTTGAAATCATGAGCAGAATTTGTACTTCTCAACAACCAAGATACTGAATTCTTTGGATGAGTCTCTTGGAAATACAGCGAAATCTTTAAGAGAAACCTTTTAAAGGAATGTAATGAGAACAATTCATTGCCTAATTGGGCTACTAAGATATAAGTCGCACTCTATAAAATAGATTTTTTGATTTTTAAGATATCATCCAAAATCTTTTTAACCTATTTCTACAGGAGTGACCATGTAGCACTGCTTCCTCTACATCTACGACCAGTCGCACAGGAAACGACCAAATTAGTGAAGAGCAGGAGAAATCTTGTTTCTTGAGGAAGAATAGACCACATAAAGAACTGACGATCGAATAAGATGCATATATTCAGCACTTATTTTGATACATTAAACAGATATTCATTTATGTTTTACATTTATCGGTGAAAACAGGAATAAAAGCACGACGTTTTAACGTCTGTCGACTGAATCAGACTGACAACGTTGTTTGTTATTAAGTATATTGGTCTTTGCGACTTAAATAACCTGTGTTAAAATGAATGCTGAGGTAAATCCGCCTTATTTTCACTGTGAAGGATGGTGAGTTGTGGAAAGTACGCCATATTAATAAGTCCAATTCACTCCTTTAACAGTTTTTATCCGTACACGAAACCGCGCCTTATGAAAACATATTTTGTTCTCGCTGTCTGTGAGATAGATGGGAAATTCTCATTCTCCAAAGAAGTGCATTTCCGAAGAAAGTAATATTGCTTTAATTACGAAAAGTTAATTTTCAGTCGTTGAATACCTGGAGACAGCCAAGAGAAACTATCTTGAGAAATATCACAACCCAAGAATTGTAAGTTGAAAAATAGCATTATTTTCAAAGAGACTTGCTGCCTTAGATGAATTCAAACAGCTCAGAACACTTGGGACGGGATCATTTGGTCGAGTTATGCTAGTTCAGCATAAAAAGTCATCCGACTTTTTTGCTTTAAAAATACTTGATAAAGCCAAAGTATGAATTATTCTGCCTTGAGCGATTCCCACTCTCACAGGTAGTAAAGCTTAAGCAAGTTCAACACACCTTAAATGAGAAGAGAATTTTACAAGCTGTCGATTTCCCTTTCCTCATTCATTTGGAATACAGATTTAAGGTTTTTGTATTTCATATAATATTGAAATTCAGAATGAAATATACTTATTTTTAGGACTCGAATATGTATCCGGTGGTGAGATGTTCTCATATCTGCGGCGCAAAGGAAGATTCAGGTTAGCCTCACTTAGTAGTTTAATGCATTCTTGTAGTGAATCTGCTGCACGCTTTTATGCAAGTCAAGTAATACTGGCTCTAGAATACTTACACTATTTGGAATTAATATATCGGGACCTAAAACCAGAAAACATATTGTTGGATCCTGCCGGCTACATCAAGGTGAGAAATGCTTTTGATGTGTGAATGTTTAAATATTTTTTGCATACCAAATACCTTTAATTTATCAAACCAACTGAAACTCATTCTCATAAATTTTAAGCCTGATTATTTTCGATTATTAAATCGCCTTTCATATATGTGCCACAAATACTGGTGAATCCTGAACATAATGATGTTAGGTTATCGGCTGATTCGATTCAGCCACAGATAATTTTTGTGGGCATCTTAAAATGTATTCCCTCACTGTCTATATTCTAATCAGGTTTTTTATCGTCCACAGCCTACGTTGATGTAGGTGTTTTTCAAACTGATTTTTCCTCAACTAATAGGTATTTTTGGTTGACTGTCTGCGCTGTATTTTACATAGACATCTGTTTGTTAATAAAGAAGGAATATAGAATAGCTTTATTAATGTGAATAATTTATATTATGTATGCCAAATAGACTCAGCAGTTACACAAATTTAAACGTGATACGAATGGTTTAGAACAACACATTTAAGCTGGCAACATTGTTTTCAATTAGATATCATCAGACTTGACTCTAATATACATAACTTCACAAATGGATATTTAGATATATAGTAATCATTGTGGTTTTTCAATAGGTTAGTAGGATTGTGCACATAAATTTCGCAATTACTCATAACAATATTAATCATAATAATAGTGGTTTATCAATAACAAGGATGAAAAAGTGAGGCGATCTGTGATAACAAGAATAACGAAAGCAGCATTATTTGACAAACAAATGTTCCTGTAGATGAGGTTGATAAAGGCTAAGAAAAACAAATGGACCGACTAAAGAATGCTAAATTGTGAATAAAATACGTCTTATTGAAGATGTGATAAGATTAAGAGATGATAAGAGAGGGGATGAATATATATATATGTATATAAGTAAGGCGTGATGCAGAAATCATCATTTGATTGAGTGTTAATAAACCAAGGGAGGAATAATGGTCGTACGAACATCTTCTGAATGCATAGTTTAGGCTTGATAGTTTGAATGCCCATTGCCTCAGGTCTGTGCAGTAGACGAACACGATGTCTATTGGAAAGATTCGGTGGAAATACAATGAATTTCCTTGAAAGCTTTCGCCTTTTCCATTACACGACTACTATCAACTAAATGTGATAAAATAGAGATACGGATTGATTTTGTTTGTCCTTTGGCATGATGGAAGATGTTCACTAACACGTTAGCTAAGCTGTCTAGTAGTACGCCCAACACAACCGCAGGTGTATTTGAATTGGGAAATGCACATAGATGTGACAAAACTGTCTAGTTTACCCTTTATTTGCGTCCCTATCATTCGTCAGATATAGAATAATAAACATAGGTGCACTGCGTAGAAAGTTCTTCGTATGCTCCCGGAAAGTCTCTGGAATAAAATCTCACTTGAAGTCACCATTAAATTGTAACTTAATAAATAGAGGTTTTCCATGTGCAATCATAGTCTTCAGTTTTCTCTCTAGTGTTTCTTTATGAAACTAATCGGATAGTCAATCTGCGTCAAGGAATCATGAATATATTCAAATTCCTTTTGTAAGTGTTCATCCGTACATATCTTTCTTGCTCTGCTCGTGAGACATTTAACGACATTTCCCTTATACTCAATGGGCACATAATTAAGGAAGTATGTATTGCCTTATGAATGTGCTTTTCCTTTACACGCTTCTTCCGTGTGACCCATCTTGCCTACTAAGCAAAACGTCTAGAAAATGTAGTTTATCATCCTTCTGCTTTTGACAAGCAAAATTAAGAGAAGGGTGGATTTTGGTGAATTTCATCAACAATTCGACCTTGCTTGCATTCGCATCAACTAAGACAAACGTATCATCAACATAACGGTGATACATTTCCAACTGCTTGATGATGTCTTTGAATTTCCTATTTTCAGGTTTTGCAAGGAAGAATCCTTTACACCACACAGTTAATTACCTTTATTTTTATCCACTTAGTCTTTTTTTACGTATAAACTATAGGTGTTCAAGACAAGTAGATACATAGGCTAGAAACCAAAAAAAACTACTTGTAATTGCTGACATCAAATTTTCGTCAAGTTTGAAGTTACTAGATCATTCCAATCTGCATCACACATCGTGCGATTTGAGCTTTTGAAGTGGCGATTGAAATCACGTCAACATAGTTTGTCTCTTACTTTTACAGAGACAAACTATTTTGAAGTGCTCTGTAGGATAGTACCTAAGAGATATAACAGCAGTAGAAGCAGACCATGTAGCTATTTATTCTTTGGCCAAGAACTAAAAATGCAGTACCTGAAAACATTTAAAGATATACATTACAACCACATTCACTCTGTATACTTTGGACAATTTCTTCTTATATTCCGTATACCGGCACGTTTGGCATTATAAGTGTTAACAGGATAAAAATACTGAGTTTCACACAGGCAGTGCCATAGAGTTATTTACCGACCAGTTTGTTTAATTTTCAGTCTTATAAATATTTGGTTACGTATTCAATGGGAAATATTTTTGTAAATCGGGGCTGATAACAGTGGCTACATTTATTTCTATGTCAAAATATTCTGAAAATTTTAAGAATTAAAACCAGTCTACGAGATCATTTGTGTTCACTGAGAGGATAAACAGATATAGACCAAAATCAGTGACAGTTAAACTGTATCCTTTGCAAAATACTTCGTACTTAAGGAAATGTGTTTGCTGCAGACCTAAAATTTTCCCCTTTACACCTTATTGATGAGATGTATTACACCACCCTCAAGTGAGATTAGGAGGAAACACTCATCTTTAAAAATTGTCAACTTCTTCATGTCCTGCATTTTCACTAGTTATGTCTCATAGCCGTAATAAAAGAATGGAGATAGCTACCATGCAGTACACACGTTGGCACATACAACTCCATAATTAAGCAAGATACAACTACGCTAATGTCAACCATTAACACCTTTCGTTTATCGTCATGGGACTCCATAGGCGCTATTATTGTTATCATTACTATTATTCCCTTGAGTTCCGAGTAGAACATAGGGTTTCAACAACACATCTCCACTTTGTCCTATCTTCTGCCGTTCTGCTCAACTTGGGCCACAATTTCCCGCAATCTCTCATCTCCTCACACTATTTTCTCTTTGTCACCATGGCACCGACAACCTACTCGTCGCTTCCTATTCGGATTCCACTCGAGCAGTGGCCTGGCGCGCGATGTGATTCAACGGTTTCCTCAATCTATGCCAGATCCATCTCCATTTTCTCATACATATTTGTTGAGCGATCGGCTCTTGGTTGGTTTTTTCCCACAGTTTCTTATAACTTATTCTTTCTGGCCATTTGATCTTGAGTGTGGCGCAGAGGCAGCTGTTGATAAAAGTCTGCAACCTGTTGGAAATCCCTGTTATGACACGCAGTGCAAGTTTCTGACCCGTAAAGAATAACTGACTCACTGACTTCAAATTTATGTTGAAAATTCGAATCTTGTTATTTATGCTGAGGCGGAGTGCAGTTTAGAAGATTTCCGAATTGGTTTCAGGTTGATGAAAGCGTGCGTTTCTTGCCTTTCCGATTCTGGCTGACTTTTACATCTTCATCCGTTCCGGCTGCCTGAAGTTGAAACGATGCTGGCATCGTAGATAAGCAACCTCTGTTAAGTCTCTACCGTTAATGGTGATTGATTCCGGTTGTTGTTATTGTTGTTACGGTTCGTTAGATATCTTTATCACCTCTGTTTTCTTTATGTCCGTCTACAGTCCTATCTCCGCTGCCTGTTTCTTCAGCCAGTTTGTAGGTTTCCGTCTGCCTGCCTGCCTGTAATTCTCCGAGTTTGTTTAACATTAGATATATATTTTCTGCAAAATCCAGATTTTCTAGAGTCTTCTCATCGGTGGTCCATCGTATGCCTGTCTCCTCGCCCCCGAGCATAGTCTGACGCATAATCCAGTCCACCACAATTAGGAATATCATCGTGGGTGATAACAGCAGACAGCCCTGTCTTACTCCTGCATGCACCTCGAATGCCTCGCTGAGTTTTCCGTTGTTCCCACTGCATTAAGGCTTTGGCTGTCACTGGTGACATCATGGTAGCCATTCACTGTCTCAGTGTGCTTGTGGTTGCGTCTGTGTGACCAGACTGGGGTAGATTGCTGACTCGCTGAGTTTCACATTGTAGTTCACCTGACTAACACGTAGCATTGTCATACAGCTAACTGTTGAATGAGGTTGATAAAGACTTGGGTACTGCACGCCGTAGTGTTGAAGTAGTTTCCAAATAACTTCGATGCTCTGTCGAAGGCCTGTTTGAAGTTAATGAAGTTGAGGTAGACAGAGGTCTGACTGCCATTCTATGCTTTGTTCTGTGATGACGATGCATAGAGCTGCAATTTGACCAGCATATGACTCGCCTTTCCTGAATCCAGCTTGTTCCGCGTGGGATTCTGCATCAAGTGCATCTTTTATTCTCTCTAGAATGATGTGACTCACTATTACACTTGGCGTGGACAAGAGCATTATTCCATGTCAGTTCTCACAGAACGAAGCCTAAGTCATCCTTCTTCGGCAGTTTGACGAGGCAGCCTTTCTTCCAGTCAGTAGCCACCTTCCCTTCTTTCCGAACGTTTTGCAGTAATGGAGCGAGAACATCTGCCGTAACCCTGGATCCGTCTTCAGTGCTTCGGGAGGAATTCCGTCTGGTCCTGCCACCTTCCCGGCAGGCGTTCAGTAGCTTGATCTCATTCAGGATTTCTTCCTTCGTTGGAGGAGTGGGGTCCACTGGCAGGCTGTTTTGTGCGTGTTGTTGTTGTTATTTCTGGGCGAGTTGCGGGTAGTGTTCGATTCTGGAGTCCTCTGAAGTGACTAGCCAATTCTTTCATTTGTTTCTCCCCCCTGGTAATCTTGTTTCCTTGAGCATCTTTTATTGGTTTCATCAACTCGGTTGATTTTGTTCCGGATAGAGACTCGGTTATTTGGTATAGTTTCTTGATTTCGCTTTGTCTACGGCTTGTTCTGCTTCAGTTGCCG